GGAGAAAACAGTTCGCTCAAGAACATCAACATTGGCGCAATGTCCTTTTCACCGACGAGTCTAGAGTTATCCTGCAGGGCAACGATAGACGCGTCCGAGTTTGGCACAGATGATCCATAAGTGGTTTGCCATTGCCTTCTTCTGTGTGTGAATGGAGTAATTGTTGGGATGCCACGGAGGAAACCTCTGTGTTGGCTAGACCACGGCCTTGCCCAACACAAGTTATAAATTCGGGCACCGCCGGGAATCGAACCCGAGACCCCAGGATTACAAGGCCAGCGTTCTAACCGCTAGACCACCGTGGCTATCATAATGGTGTGGGCCGGTATTTTGACTGACGACAAAACCGACCTCGTGGTCATCAGAAACGGCTCTATGAATGCGCGGTGTTACATTCCCGAGGTGCTGGAACCTCGTGCATTGGCATTTGGAGAAAATTTTCTCCTAATGCATGACAGTGCTGCCCTCACGTTGCAGAATCCTCAAGGAGTACCCCCAAGAGCAAGACATCGCCATTTTACCACAGCCAGCTCGCAGCCCAGACATTAACCCTACAGAGAATTTGTGGGACGTACTGGGGCGAAGCGTCAGAGACCGTCAGAACGCACCTATCACACTGCGGGACCTGAAAAATGTCATTTTGGAGGATTGGGCGCAAATTCCCCAAATCGACACCCGGAGGATTGTCCGGAAGATGCCTCAACGCTGTACAGCTGTCCTTCGAGTTGAAGGGAGTCCAACCGCCTACTTAGCTCAAAAAAACCTTGAAATTATGTCACAAAAACTTTATGCAAATAAAACTTCTATTTTTTTTGTGATTAGTTCAAAACTGTTCAGTGTAACAATAATTCAGTTGTGTCTGCTGTTACAAAGAGGCCTATTTTTATTTAAATAAATGTCCATTCTCTAAACTACCCACATTTTAATAAATTTTACAAAGTCCAAGAAAAATTTACGACCATTCGAAAACCTGACTCCTAAATTATTTTGAGGAGCGTAGAAAGATACACGATTACCACTACTATTATAATAATGAATGAGCTCTGGACGCTGTTAAACATCGAGGTACAGATCAATGTACCGGAAACGGTGTGTAAAAATCTTTTTAAAAATGTGCATCTTTTACGTGATTGACAGAAAAATGCAATATCTTATCTTTCGAAGTAACAATTCGTAATACACACACACGGGTTAATCAGCAGTTCTGCTCAACACGGCTCGATTTCATTTCTTATAGGTCAAGGATTAAAATTTAGATACATATTCATGACCACATATAGTTTCTAGTATACGCGAAATTCTGTGGTGTGTCGTAATGTATCATTTACAAATTAAGGCGTGTCCGGATGAAAACTATTGCGTGCGTATATGACGCCAATTTAAACCAAAATGGGCACATCGGGGGACGGTCGCATGCTGGGGTAACAACATCACAATCTGACGAAATCTGCCCTTGAGAGAGAGATGATCACTTAACAAATACAACGGGGGGACATGATACCGGCATTTACGTACTGAAAAGACACAAACTACTACTCCGAGCATATCAGAAACTGCTGTTTCGTGAAATTATCATTAGTACAAACAAACCACACCATTTAGACGTACAGATTCGCGCTCCGGCCGCTTTATTCCCAAGCAAAGAACAGGTGCCCATTGAAAGAGAGACTCATTTGGCCCCACAACTGGTTTAGACGTTATGCCCTGAGGTGAATCGAGACTGACTGAAACTTACATTACCTAGCCATAAAACAGACACAAGACACGTGGGACTTGAAGGCTACGCGTAGATTTTATGAGCTATGCCTGTAACACGATCAACGTTTTTATAAATCTCATTACGATTGATTTGAGCTATTGTGAAACCCATATTGTGTTGAATATATACTTGTTCAATTTTATCAGTCTAATCACAATAAAATATTATTATTAAATATTAAAATATTATTACAATTAACATTTAAATATTTAAAATATATTAAAATGATGCTCTCTATCGAAATGTTCGATTTACATTAGAGCATCATCTTTTACACTACATGTTTCGGTTCTAAATGAACCATCTTCAGGTGTATGATCCATATAAACTCAAAATGTAACATCCTAAGTGCAGTCCATCAAATATCAGAAAACTTTCTGATATCTGATGGACATCTGACGAAGGATTGCACTTAGGATATTACATTTTGAGTTTATATGGATCATACACCTGAAGATGGCTCATTTAGAACCGAAACATGTAGTGTAAAAGATGATGCTCTAATGTAAATCGAACATTTCGAAAAATTGAGCAAGTATATATTCAACACAATAACGACGCAACATTATCATCTCATTTTTAATACACTAAACCAATCCATACGTCAACATTGGCACCCAGTGAATTAGCGAATCTTGTGTAGTTTTCAAAATGGCCCCCGTTAGCTTCGTGGCACAGTTGACAGCGATGAATACGGTGGGAAACTTTGAGGTTATGTGCAAAATGTGGGCCGGGTGGATTCCATTGTAGCACAACCATCTGCCCACGAGTCTAGAGCGCTCACGTTATCCAAATGTAAAATTAACACCACGTGTAAACGCCTGTATCTGTGCAAAAATAAAGCTTCTCAGCCTTTATTATTAATATAACAAACACCTTGATAAGTTATCATGATAAAACTGTTACTATGACATATTTCAATTGTTTGTGAAACTTTCTGTGGAAGTATCCATCTGTTTTGGTACGAATCCAACCATATAACATCACTAGTCTAATAGTTCTTTTAGATAATCATTCTTTAGTTGGTAGCAATGTATGATCCTATTATCTGGATAAATGGAAAGCTGTTCGAAACAGATAACTTAACCCTTTGAAGCCGAAGATCGTCTAAATATTATTTATGAATTCAGTCCGTACCGCGAAGAAAACACTACACCTCACCATTACGAAAATCAGCTGGTTAACCCTTTAAAGCCGAAGCTCGTCTTCATAATATTTACGAATCCAGACCGTACCGCGAAGAAAACACTTCACTTAACCATTAGAAGTCGAATCAGGCGGTACCACTTAAGATTTAACATCCCGGTCAAAGCCTTAAATGGCTGATATAATATTATGGCTATCTATTATCATAAATCTTCCTCACGACCATTATCACGGTACTTAATGGCGGAATAAATCTTAAAATTTCTCGGTATTCCAAAACATTTTCGATAAATTGTCTGCGTACATTTCATAAAAGTAATACACATTGAGGTTAATGCAGTTCAATCTTATCTCGGTATTCAAATGTCTCAAGACACTTCTGATCTCAAGTGACTGCGATAATAAAATGGGCCACTTATAATCTACTTGCGTAAATGTTTTGAATTCTTCTTCAAGTTGAGAAATATCTGGACATAAGTTATATTTCAAAGTGCATTTCTAGCCCTGACGAAACGCTTCGAAAACATTGGCATTAATTAATACAATGGCGCAGAGAGAGAGAGAGAGTAGCGTCTCGGCCCTCAGGCAAAAGAGGATCATTAGAATAAAGACAGGCACTAAAAGGATAGACTCTTGTAGGGAATTATTTGAGAAGTTTAATATTCTTCAACTACCCAGTGATTTCTTGCTCTCACTAATATCATTTGTATTGGATAACATGGAAAAATTTCAAACAAATACAGACATCCACAGCATAAGAACAAGATACAAATACAACCTTCATGTGCCGATTTCTAACCTCAGTGAATATCAAAAAGGAGTTTACTATACTGAAATTAAGTTATTCAATAATCGTCCACCTACTATAAATAAAAAGTTTAAAATATGATATAAAAATGTTGAAGCCAGCATTAAAAGAGTATCTCCTATCTCACTCCCACTCAGTATAAGAATTTATAAATACATGTAAGTAACAATGTTGATGGTTTCTCATCATAATTATTTTGCTGTAATACTGTAGTTCCAAAAATCTGCAAATAGCTGTTATAACTTTACATTTATATTTGTACTAGAAACAAGTTTTGTATTTGTGCTATGACCTATTCTATTATATTAACTGCGACGTTGGTAACACTGGTGGACGCAAAGATAAGTCAAATTTACGATTAATTATGGCTGGCCCTTTTCCCCCCGCCCTGTACAAATGCCCAATCACGACAATCGGTCACCAAAAGGCAATTGTTGTTAATATCATCGGACAAACACCAGATGTTTCGTGTCGCGGTTACTTCAATACGCAAGTCCCATAGCTGCTTGACTGTTACTAAGCTGATTCAGCCGTTCCTTGTTCTCGTAGAACACGATCGGAGCCGAGGTTGAACCAGTTCACTCCAGTTTACTCTATCCTCTGCTTGTAAGTGACCTACCATTTCCTATTAGACACATATTACTATTACCTCAAATCCCGGCCATGCATTTTAGAATTAGAACATGTTCCATTCCCCTGAAATACTTTACTTCGTCTGTTACGGGGAATTTCATGTGAAACGCCATAAATATGTCAGACGTTTGCATGACGTGTATTACGAACTAAAGCGTGATATACTGCAGCCTGCATTCCATCGAAGTACAATGTCATTCAAATCGAAACCAACACCCAATGGGGAAGACTTCAGTGTGTAGCGACAACAATGAATTCAAATGCAATTCAAACCGATAATTACAACTACACAAAGGAATCGATTTCGCACACAGCTTCCAATTCATCATTCATCCTCACGTTTTTCCTACGTAACATTTCCAACTGAGCGTCATTAAATAACCTTAAATTAATCCGATCACAAACTTTGTAACACAGCGGCGATATGAACACAAATTTTTAGCTCAATGTTGCACTTGTTTCGTCCGCGCATTGGACATACTGTCAGGGACTACTGCATTGCCAAAATTTCCTCAAAACAACTCACAAAACCTATCTTGGTTCCCACAACCACGCGGAGCCGATACAAAGTAACCTTGTAGTAGATTCTGAAACACGTTTCCTTTCAGCTCGTCTCTTGGTACACACACAAACAAACGAATACACACTACTCACCTCTGTTTTCGTTATGCGGTGCTTGGCGAGTTTCACCACGGCGAAGTTGCCCTTGCCAATGGTTCTCTCGATGTCATAGAAACCAACTCTGATGGGCGCCCTCTGCCGGTCCGCCGCCATTACCTTGTGTTGGTATGCACTAGCGAACGCTCACTCCGACCCATCCTAACAGCGCGGCAGTCCGACAGGCACTGATCCATACGCCTTGCTTTCACGGCCACTTGTATCGGCTTACTGCACGACCGTGTTGGTAAATATTATTACAACAGCCTTAGTATCGAAGTAAATCTGTATCGATTATATCGCAGAGCTGGTGTGGCGCTGTGTGTCGGTGTGGAGGCGGACTAACCCACCCTTCGAAGTGTTCTTTGTTGGCGGGGGTGGATGATCCCCCACGTCACAACAGCGCGTTGCGCCCTGC